CTCTTCACTAGTTCTGTGGCCCTGATCAATTCACTTCATTTCCTGGGGCTTCCGAGCCCTCCCCTGAAAACCAGGATGATGGGCCCTTGACTGCAGGACTGATGAAAAGGGCCAAGCACAGCACTGACACCTATTTGGGTTTAACAGCTCAAATTTTGTTGATTGAATAATGTCTTCCTTCAAGGTCTAAGTTGGGAACTTGGCTCTCATAAATGTGGACCCAAGATTTCCAGTCTCCTGTTCCAGAAAACATTGGACACATTCATTTATTTTCAGCTTCCTGTATTGTGTTGAACTTAACGGCTGATTTTATATATATATATATATATATATATATATATATATATATATAACTGAAAGTGAGGTGATTTGAAATGATTTTGTTCAATGGTTGTTGGAAATACATATAGTTTTATTTGTATTCATATTTTTCACCTTAACGTGACTGTTGTGGCCTCGAGCAGGCAGGGGCCAAATCTCATTTCTTTTGGGAATCTTCCCTCTCATGCCCAATTCCAGTTATTTCTCATTCCTGGGCACCAATAGATACTCAACAAATAACTGGGCTTGTCCAGTGAGAGGGAAAGGGGCTGATTCCAAGTGGTGAGAAAGAATGCTGAGCTCAGTTGTCCCATAGCAGTGCAATTCCTGGATAACAGAAGAATGGAAAAAATTGCCTACCAACCACTAGGTTTGGGGCCCTTTGCTAGAAGGCTTTTAGAATTCACTGGACTTGATCAGGAAGGTGTGCATCTGAGATGCTCAGAAACGAGCGCTTCTTAAGCCTGCAGCCGTCAGGGGGTTAAGGATTCTTCCAGCCAAGGGGCTTTCCAGAGATGGACAGAGGGAGATTTGACTATCTCTCTCCTTTCTCCTTCTCCCTTTCTTCTGTTAAACTATTTCCATCCTAAATGGTCACAGCAGTTAATCCCTAATGTAGAACTTTGGAAAAGACAGAAGTGTGTGAAAAAGCAGATGATAATCGTCACCCATCATCCCGCCACTCAGAGGCTCCAGCTTTCTCTTTATCTGAACAGACCAGGCAGGGTGTGGTCCAGTCCCTTATTCAACGGTCTCCATTTATTCTGCAAAGTCACAACAGCAAGGCTGTGACCGGCTCCTCCCTCACATTTGGAAGTTTCATGCAGGAATCGGTGAGTTTGGGCTCTGACTTACAGGGTAAAGCTTGGAGCACATGTTGTGCCACCCTTGTCTGGAGCTGATTTGTGGGGCTGGGGCCTGGGGCTTTCAGAGGCTGGCACCACCACGGGGCGGTGCTGTGCCCAGGGTAGCGGTGGGAGCATCCAGGAGATGACAACTTGCAGCATCTTTCCACTTAGGACTCAGGGTGCCGGGTGATACAGGCTGTCTGCTCCTGTCTGGACACCTCCCACTGAAGTGGCAGGAGACAGGTGTCCGCCTCTCCGTGGTGTGCCGGAGCTTAAACAGATTTTAACAAAAAGTCAGACAACTTGAGCACCTGTTACTCCCCTTCTAAACCTTTTGTTTCTTTTATAGTTACAAGGAACAACCCATAGAAATATGATTTCATACTCCAGTGATTACATATACCTGGTCTTCAAAGGGACAGGGAAGAAAATGACCTGTGATAGGGATTGTCTTTCATGATTTGCAATCCCCAGCTGCTCTCCTAGGATGGTGCATCCCAGAGTCTTTGCTAAGTAGGGTCAAGAGTGCGAGGATGCAAACTGGAGATGAGGAGAGAGAGCTCCAGTGCTCCAGTGGAGGGTCCTGGGGCAGGGGGAACAGGGGAAGGGCTGCCGGAGGGAAGAGGGGAGAGAAATGGACAAAGGGGCAGGGCTGAACTGTGGAGAGCCAAAGCAGCTGTGGCGCATGATGTATAATAGTGCTTTTCTCCTTTCTCCTCATAATTAATATTATATTGTGGAGTTGGATTTGGTAGTTTGAGAGTTGCAATCAGCTACTGGAATTCTGCTTCAAATAGGCAAGATGAATAGCTGCCAGAGAGGGCCCAGCATTTGGGTTATATAACAAAAGAACATTTTGTTTCAGAGGAGGTGATTTAGGCACTGGGGCATCTGTCATGCAGCCTCCATTAACACTCAGCTCCTTATCCTGAAATGGGCTGTCTCCCCACACTGTACCATGAGCTCCCCTCGGGCCTTACTCACTTCTGGGGCCCCAGGGCCGGGACAGGGCTGATTTGCCAAACCGGCCTAACTCCTCCCAGTTCAGTGTTCGTTGAGTTTTAGTTCATTTTATATTTATTCAGCACCTACCTGGCAACATGGGGAATAGAGAAATGCTGAAGACATAGGCATTGCCCAATAGGAGCTCATAGTAATAGATTGTTGCTGTTGGACTGTAAGTGGAATGAAAGAGGTGAGTAATGGTGATGTGAAAGCCTAAGGGACAGGGAAATGGGGGGAAGGCATCCGAGAGGACAAGACAACATGAACTGAAGGGAGAAGGCAAACAGCAAAGAGTGTTCTAGGCAGAGACAAGCATGAGCCATCTACAAGGTGGAACCGGCCTGGTGCCTTCTAGGTGCTGGGAATAGCCCTGGAGCCCCAGTGATAGGCAGGGAGGGTGGGGCGGGCACTGGGAGGCCCATGGGGCTTTTTGTGCCAGCTAAGAGCATGGACCCCATTCTATAGGGTGGCAGTCCTCAAGAAGGAGGGGCTGGCCAGAGCAAGAGAGGCACAGCCTCCTAGTCCCCTGGTTGGGATGGGTGGGTTTGAATTTCCAACATGGAGCATGTGTTTGGTTTGAAAAAGCAAATTCAGAGTTAATTTTTTTTATATTTGATCAATGTAAAAAGAATACTCATCATACCTGTCACTTGGTAATACAATCTCAATTTGACCAAAGTGTGACTAGAGGACCAGGAATTAGAAAAAAAGGTGAAGGAACACTGCCTCAGGTGATGAGAGGCACTGAGAGGCTTTTAGCAGGGCAGTGACAGGCATGGGCCAGATTTGCATTTTTAGAGCGGCAACTCTGGCTACTGACTGGACACAGGTATGAGAGAGGAAAGACTGGGCAGAGACCATGAAAGGGATGGAGAGGTGTGGGCTTGATTCAGGGCATGGTGCTCTGGATAGGAAGATATTTAAGACATAAAACCAGAGAACTTGGTGACAGAGTAGGTAGGCGTGCAGGGCGAACAGAGGGAGGACTCCAGGCTGCCTTCCGGGACCCTTGGTGAGGTGGCTGGCTGGGGGTGGGGGCGCAGAGAGGAGGGGCTGGCTGGGGAAGGGAGGCTCTGGCGCAGGGTTGGATGGAGTAATGGTCTGTTCAGACAGGTGGATTTCAAGGTGGTCATGGGATACCCTAGAGGCAAAGGCCCGGAGCGCCGTGACTTGTCCTGGTTCACAGTCTAGTGGATGGCCAAGCAGGGTTGGAGTCCCATATCCTAACTCTTCCGCCTCCCAGGTCCGCTTGACTGCACACTGAGAGCAGAGAGCAGGCGGCCAGAGGTGCCATGTGTCCCAGGAGGTATCAGATGCCCTGGGTGTTGATGCTGTTGTTCTTACTATATGGGGCACCCACCCCTGGCTTCTTAGCTCTGCCTACGAGGCCTGGGTGTCTGGAAGCTGGGACAAGCTAGGCCCTTGAAGCATGTGCTGGGGAAACCAAAGGCTGAATGGGTGATGATGCTGGCCTTGAGATCGCAGTAGTCTCAGTGGGTTGACAGACCAGGTTCCCCAGAGGCCCAACCAGAGGGCAACCCTGCCCAAGGTGCTGGACCCTCTTGAGTGGCCCTGGCATCAGGCCCCTTTCTCTTCCCTTTCCTTCATTAAGCCTTGCTGATCCCATGCCTGTCCTGACCCTGCTCAGCCTGACTCTGTGATCAGAGATTTGACAGTTTTGGTACCACAGGTGAAAGTTTTACAAATAAGGCATTTGCCTACAATCCCTCTCAGGACTATTTTCATTTTAATCAGGGGATAACCCCAGAAGCCAAGGAGTGGAGCTGTAATAGTGGAATTTCAACACCGAAGGAGATTGGGACGGGAATTATTATATACAGTGTGTACTTATCTGGGGGCCAGATGTCTGTCTTCTTACATGAATGGCACAAGTCCCTTCTGGGTGCTAAGGATTAATTTTCTCGGTGGACACAAGAAATAGCTCTGACTCAGGCAATTCAAACCTTAGCAGGTTTCGGGGTGGGGGTGGAGGTGGGGTCGGGGGTGCTGCTTGTCCTGGATGAGACAAGTATCCCTGGGTCTGAACCACAGTGCTCCAAGTGAAAATGGATAACTACCACTTGCCTTTTTATTAAACAAAACAAAACAAAACAAAACAAAACAAAACATTTCCATGATTAAGCCTTTGAGGCGCTTGGTCCCCAGTATTTTTTGGTGCAGCAACTCACCCTTGTTTGTAAGATATTAACCACTTTACATTCCTCCTTCAGTAGTACTGTATGGCCTGTTACCCAGGTATTAGCTGGGGGCCTTTCTTGGGTGAAAATGTCTCGAATCCACCAATTCCTGGCCCGGGCAACTCCAAAACCCTCCCACTCGCCTGGGGTGTGATGTTCTTCAGTCTTCTTCTGTCTCTTGGGCTGCATCCAAAAATCACTCACACCACATCTGTGAGTTTAGTAGCTGTTAGTGAAGTATTTTCGGGGAGTGGGGTGTGAGGAAGGCGTCATATCCCTTCTGGTCCAGCAGCTCTTGGCCCCGCTGGGTTCACATACTGTTCCCTCCACGGAGCAAAGCAGCCTGTCTCCTCTGGGCCTCGCTGGCTGACTAACACTCAGGAAAGGGGTTTTCCAATTCCTCTCTTTGAAAGGAATTTTGATGCCAGTTGTAAAGATAATGAAGCTCTGTTTACCTTTTCATAGACATAATTTGCTTTTAAAATAAAAATTCACTTCAAGTTCACTTTTAAGAATTTCCCAGCAGTCCTTAAAATAAATCAGCACCTAATGGTGCTATAGAAACAGGGTGCAGGAGTCTTGGCAGTGCAGACAGGAGCCTGACATTTGTCATGTTTGTGTTTTCCAGTTTCCACCCAGATGTCTGAAATCCTTTAGATGTGGACGGTGTCCCTGAGAACGGAGCAGGGTGCATAGACCAGACGCTGAGAAGAGGAAGCCTGGGACAAGGCCGGTCCAGCCTCCTGGTAATTCATCAGCAGTTTTTGGTGGTCATGTGAGGGGGGCACACTTTTTGGTTGGGTCCATCTCACCAGTGTGAGCTTCTAGGCACTCATCGTATGAACTCCCCCAGTCTTGCTCACTCAAGAGCTATGAATACTATGGAATCTGAAAGACCTTAGAGGTCACTAGTCCAACCCTCCAGCCGGGGTGGAAGCCCCTCTACTGCTTCCGTAGTCGTCGTCCCCCCCCCCATGCCGAGGAGAGAGCTCATCACCCAGAAGGCAGCCAGCCTGTCCCGCCTTCCTGTTACTGAGCAGCTCCTGCCAGTGGGAAGTTCTTCCTAGCACCCTCCACTAGATTCTGCCTGCCGGCAGCAACCTCTCGCTTTCCTGGTTCTGGCTCCTGAAACTCTAAGGAATCAGCCTAATCCCTCTCCCACATGGCAGCCCAACAGATATTTGGGGACAAGTGGAGTAGGGGAGTGCAGCATCTGAAGCCACAGACAGTCCTGGTTGAAATCCTGACTCCACCGTTAGCTGTGTGATCTTGGGCAAGCTAGTTCACCTCTCTGATTCAGTTTTTTTAACTGTAAAACTGGGACAACAATGTCTGCCTCATAGAGCGGTCCTGGGAATGAAAATAAATCGTGAATAGAAGTTGCCTGGTGTTGTTGCATCACCAATTCTCTGACACCAACTGGGTGTCCTACAATTCAGCCCAGTTCTGACACTAACCCAAGTCAATGGGCACACAAGTTGACCACCACAAGTTTAAGGGCAAGGTTGCCTACAAAACTGCCCTCACTTTAAAGGCCAGCTACAGTGGGGTCCCCAGGCCACCTGCACTTCTGACTGATTAGGATATAAATTTGGGGGTTCCCACATCCCCCCTCTAATTCACTAGAACGATCACAAAACTCAGTGAAGACACTGTAATTGTGATTACAGTTTTATTATAATATAAAAGATTCATCTCAAGAACAGCCAAACGGAAGCGACACATACGGCAGGGTCTGGGAGTGGGGAGGTATGGTGCGGAGCTTCAGGACCCTCCTTGTGGAATCCAGGTGTGTCATCATCCCAGCACAGCCATGTGCTCACCAATCAGGAACCTCCCCCGAGCCTCAGGTTTCGGAGATTTTTAACGGGGTGGCATGTTGGTGGGGAAGGGGCTTTATTAGTAGGCATAATTGTTTAAAGCATTTGCCACTTGATTGTGCTCAATCTCCAGCCCCTTTCCCTCTCCTCCTCCATGGTAGGGGGTGGGGCTAAGGTTGCAACCCTCCAATCATGTGCTTCGTCTTTCTTGGTGGCCAGTCCCTCCCTGGAAACTATTACCTACGGGCCTACCAGAAGTCACCTCATTAGCATAAGCTCGGGTTTGGTGAAAGGGGCTCATTAGGAATAACAGAAGACACTCCCAATGTCTTTTGGACATTTTAGAAATCCCAAGGGTTTTGAAGCTCTGTGCCAGGAACCAGGGGCGAAGACCAGATGTACTCTTTGTGACTTCACACCTGTGCCACAAGTGCTGGCCATCTCCGGTTCTCAGTAGCCTGCTTACCCTCTTTTCTGTGATCTCCAGGCTGACATGTTCCCACCCTCTGGTCAAAGAACTAGGCATTCTCAGTATTTTTCTGGGTGGTCTTCTTTTTGTACATATAGCTCAAGATCGAATTCATTTTCGGACTAAAACATGTAATTACAGTTATTTAGTGTGCGCCTGTTTACAACTGAATCGTACACCTCTCATTACTTGAGTTCTTAATGCTACGATGATTCTAGCTGCTACATGACACATAATGAGAGCAAATGCTTAATTAGCACTTGCTGTGCACCAGGCACTGTTGTAAGTACATACTGCACACACAGGAACTCATCTAATCCTCACGACAACCTGAAGAGGTAGTTAAATGTTATCCCCATTTTATATATGGGGAAACTGAGGCACAGAGAGTTTAGGTAATTTGCCCAAGATCGTACAGCTAGTAAGTGGCATAGCTGAGATTTGAACTCGTTGTCTTATTCCAGAGTCCATGCTTTTAACCACTATACCATGCTGCACACAACTTTGATCACCTATGAAATATTTTAGGAAGGGAAGGAAGGAGCACAAAAGGATGCCTCTGGTTCACAGAGCCACAGGGTTGGAGCAGGCTGCTGCTGTCACAGTGGGGGAGGTCAGGGCTTCCATTTCCTCTGCCTCTGGAGCGGCCCTCTGGGGCTGGGCTCTATCAAGTGAAGGCAGGCCTGGGGGCCTGGTGGTGTGGGCCCCTGTCTGTCAGGCCAGAACTTCTTCATTCCTGGTGCTTCAGGAAGGGGAGAGCTGCTTCAGAGCCTTCACAGACCCATTCCTGGGAAACGCAGCCCTCCAAGGGGAGAGGATCAGCCTTTTCCTGTGTGTTTGGAGAAGATTTAGGCCGGGAAGGCGCCGTGCCAGGCTGTGTGGGCCAATATCCAGGGCCAGAGAAGCTGAGGTGCAGGTAGTTCTGGAGCTGGTGGGACCTGGAGTTGTAAGGAACACGTGGGTCTCCAGGCTCACATCCAGGGCACTCATTGTGAGGGCTTTAAATGTTATGAAGTACAACCTCAACCACTCTAGCAACCTGGCAAATAGGCTTCAGAATATTTCTTTAAAGAATGTTTGTTTTGGGCGGCCACTCCCAGACTCCATCCCATGGACGTGACTGGTAAGGGTGGCACTAGTTGGGGGAGATCTGGTGAGGGCTTTCATAAGGAGGTGACTAGTTAGTGAAAGAATTGAGATCAGAGGTCATGGTTTGGTAAACTTGCAAAAGCATGTTTTGGAATTTACAGCACTATTGCTGTCCCAGGTCAAGGGTATGGTGGCTGGTGGTGGCACCATAGCATTAGAAATATGAGGCTTTGTGCCATCTTTGGCAGGCTTGCTAGAAATGGCTAATACCTGGAATGAATACCTCTCATTACCTGTTACAACCATTAATATCTAGCCAGTGGTAAAACCCTGGCTGCCCATTAGAATTGCTGAGGGAGTTTTTAAAAATCTTGATGTCCAAACTGATAACGTTAAAACCTTTGATATCAGTATTTTTTTATAGTTTCCCAGTGTGCACCCAAGGTCAGGAAACACTGCTCTAGGCCAAGGGTTCAGGCCATCAGTTGATTCTTGAGGGACCCTGTCCATGCGCCTTCCCTTGAACTTGCTATTTGCCCTTCCCCAAAAGGGATAAAATGACAAAAAGAAAGAAAGAAACGTTACCTGAGTGTTCTGGACTGATGGAGTGGACTCCCTTACCTAATGCATCATCCTTACCCACCCCACTCAGAGGAACTGCAAGGTGGAGGGTAGGGTCCTGACGGAACATGGAAGAAGAGGTCACAGACAGCTCACTGACAACAAGAATCAGCGTTACTAGCTAGCTGTCAGCAAGGCCTCTTTTGTAATGAGCTGCTGGCTGGAATGAAGGCTAAGGCTTGGGCTGAGGGGACTAACAGGATTAGCTGAGGGAGCAGAGCAGATCAGGACCAGGGAGGCTCTGAGAGAACAAAAGAGCACTCTACCTCCTGTGGAAGGAAAGCCCTGAAGGTCAAGTGAGGGAGGGGCAGGTGAAGGATGAAAGCCAGGTGTGCTGATCTCATGGCTTGCTCTTTTGTTAGTATCTCCCAACCTGTGTTCAAAAGCTAGGTTTTGTTAAATCAAGACACTTGCCTTCCTTCCCTGAGAAGGGAGTCTGCCAACAAAGAGAAGGCTAAAGCTTTGGAAGGCCCTCCCAGGTGAAGAGGTATAACTCACATTTGAGGGTCTAGCAGTGCTGACACGCAGGAAGGCTTGAGTGGCCAAAGCCCCATAGCTGGGAAGCGGAGGCAGGAACTTCAGATGTGCTCCAACATGGCAGTAGAAGACATTCCTTCATCTATCATTCAGGCATTTTAAAAAGCATGCTGGAGTAGAAAAAATATATCTTTTCCCCCGCCCAACTTTCCAAATGCTGCCCTAGTTCTCACTCCCGGAACCAGGTCTACATGGACTCTGGGCAGCTTGGCAACTTGGTGCCCTTCAAACAGTATTTATCATTTTGGTATTTCTCAATACTTATTTAGTTTGGTTTTGGAGAAATTAATTTTCCATTAATGAAAATTGCATACCTCTTTTAAACCTGGCATAAGTATCTGATTCTGCACTGAGACACGTTTTATAGGAACAGAGTCACCAATAATTCTTTTCCAGAGGCCAGAGCAAAGTCAAAGTTGTGCAGAAAAGCACTGTGCAAAGCGTTTCCCGTGTTTTACTACTTCCCGCTCTTCTTCCCATTTCCCACCATTTATTTTTTAGGAGGCTTCTTAGAAGCTTTTTACATTTTAGATGAAGTACTAATTCCCAGTAAATAGCTTTACACTGTGTAGATATGCATCACAGAAATGCTCAAAAAGGTCTGCAGGTCATGCTTGTACTGGGAGAACGGTCTACTTCAACCCGAGGGTGGTCTTTTAAGCCTGGAGGGTCAGGGAAGGGTGGAGGACCCTGAACCTGCGACATGTTTTCGTTTAGTACGGTGGTCCGTTAGCGCCCCCTATAGGTCAGCAGCTGCCAGCGCTCGGCCCTGGAATCCGCGGCTCCGTTTACATCCTCCTGGGAATAGCCACAATTCCCCTGTGAATTCAGTCCCTCCGCTTTAGGACACGTGTACCCCGACTGGGAGCACCAACCTGTCCGCCCCTCGTCCCTTCTCTGCAGGGTTCCAGGAGTGGATTGTAAACCCATCAGAACAATGAGTGAGGAGACTGTGCCCGAGGCCGCCTCCCCGCCACCTCCGCAGGGGCGGCAGTACTTCGACCGATTCTCTGAGGACGACCCTGAGTACATGCGCCTTCGCAACCGTGCGGCGGACCTGCGGCAGGACTTCAACCTGATGGAGCAGAAGAAGCGCGTCACCATGATCCTGCAGAGCCCCGTGAGTGGGGTCTGACCCAGACGGGGCGGGGCGGGGAGGGGCTAGGCGAAGAGGGGCGGTGTTGACTCATCTGGGTGAACTTGAATGATGACTCCTCTTCTACTCGGTACTAGCGAGAGCCCACTGAGCCAGATGGGGGTAACGTGGGAGTTTGCTTCTCTCTCTAGTCACTGGTGGAGGGCAAAACCTGGTTTATGTGCAGGCGGTTTGGCTCGGTAGTGGGAGGGGGTGGGTCTAAGAGACAGGAGCCCCACCTCAGTTTCCTGTACCCCTTCGGAGCCTCCGTTTCCAGTCTTCTCTTCCCCCCTCGCTAAAAAGCTGTAACAACGAACAGATTCGTGTAAATCGAAGGCCAGCAGGGGGCGCCACGTGGAAGTTTTGGGGCTCTCTGAACACCACGAAGAGCTCACTGTTGGGGCAATAAGGCTGACATGCATGAGGCAGCGGTGAAGAGAGCCTGGAAACCCCAGGAGGTGGGGGGAGTGGAGGGGACAGGGGTCCGGGAAAGGAGGGCATGTCAGGATCACGCTACCACGGCTCCAGACTTGAGGTTAGTGGGTCCCTGGCTTTCATGGACACAGAGCTCAGCCTTGAGGCAAGTGGTGCATTTAGAAGGACAGAGGGTGGGTCTAATTGGACCCCGGAAGTAGAAGTGTGATGCAGGCCCTTGGGCAGGGAGGGAGGAAGAGCAATGTGGATAGAATCAATGGGAGTTTCAGGGCGTAGAGCTGGGGGGTCCTCAGGAAACAGGGAGTAATTCTAAGGGCTGGGAAGCCCAGGGATGGAGCTGGCATCTCCAGGCGCTTGCCAGGATGGGCTCTGCCTCACTTCCCACGTTGGGGAGCCAGGGCATTACATGGACCATGTGTGACCCTGGCTGACAGCTCACAGGGAATCCTCAGGCCTCACAGAGGAGCATTGAGGGATGGGCCTGAGGTCTTGGTGACAGGTGACACTGTTGGGGAGCCTGAAGGAATATGGCAGGTGCTAAAAGCATTGGAGTGATAGGAAAACCCTAGAGTATGACTAGGAGGGATGGCAGGTGTGGTAGGAGAATTGGCCAACCCAAGTTTATGGGCCTGAAAGGATGGGACTCTCTTCTCAAGCAGGAGATGGGATGGAAAGAGCTCAGGCTGCTTCTGTCTTTTTATAGATTCACCAACATCTAAGTAGCTTTTGTTTCCTCCTGAGGGTTCCCCACGGCCACATGGTGGGCAGGCATGCTTTGTTCGTAGCCTGATGGTCTGAAAAGCCAGGCTTAGAGAGTGGTAGGACATCGGAAGTGGAGGCGACCTCGGAGGTCATCAAATCTTTCTGAAACTGAGGAAACTGAGGTTCAGAAGAGCCATAGGCATGGCTACTGGACAGGGAATATGGCACACGTTTTCATTCAGTTCTGCTTTTGAAAATGTCTCAATTACTGGAATGAAGTCCTGCCATGTCTGATGGGGGAATGGGTTTTGACTATCACTTAGACACAGGGAGGACCTGGAATCTGGACTACTTCCCACAGGGCAAAGGGAACAGGAGCCATTCCCAGCATCTCCTTGTTGCTCCCCAAACTGCTAGAGCAACATCGCAACGGAATTGCCCAATGTCCTCTGGGGCCCAGGGATCCCAAGTGTGGCCCTGGCCTAGCTGTCCCAGGAGCGGGGTGGGCATTTGGAAGAGGGGCCCTCGGTCGCTCGCATGAGATGCACTGGAGGGACCAGCACCTTGGGGCCTTCAGTCTTTCAGGGAGGAGCTGGAAGGCCTCATCCAGGAGCAGATGAAAAAGGGGAACAACTCCTCCAACATCTGGGCCCTGCGGCAGATCGCGGACTTCATGGCCAGCACCTCCCACGCAGTCTTCCCAACATCTTCCATGAGTACGTGGGGAGCTGGGGAGCTGCCAGGAGCAGAGGGTGGGGGGAAGTGGGGTGGAGAGAGAGGAAGTGGGGTGGGGTAGAGAGGAAGGAGCAGCAAGAAGCAGCTTGGTTGCCAGGCTACGGAGTGAGTGCCGCAGTTGCATTAGCAGACCTGGGGGAGCTGAGCAGCCTCCAGAGAGGTACCTGCTTAAATTTGCTTCTGATGCTGCTGTGATTTAAAGACTCACAGGAGAATTATCCCTGATGCCCGGAAATAGGAAGGGGGTGGTGGTGACTCAAGGGAGAACTTGATTCTGGTTCTTCTGGGGGTGGGGACAGGGTAACACTGTGTCACTGCTCTGAGAGGCAAGGCAGCTCATGTAAGACCTCCCACCCCCCACCGCCCCCGCCTTATCAGTGGTTTAGCATGAAGGGAAGAGCTTTGCAATTCAGGGGTCCTTACATGGCCTCTGCTTGAAGGCCTAGGAGTCGAGAATGGAGAGTGAGGATTCTGCTCCCTGATAACTCTAGCTAAGGGTATAGAACCAAAGAATTTCTTCGTGTTAGTGGTGTCCCCTGACTCAGGCTGTTCTTCCTTCAATCCCCTGGAGCCACTCCCTTGGAGATGTTGTGGGGGGATAGGAGGAGGTCGTTGAAGCCAGTGTCTCTAGGCCCCACTGGACAGGCCAACCTGACTCTATAGACCAAGGCCAAGAGCAAGGCTGGGCACAAACCCATCTTCCTGGGCTCTGAGGCTCTGCCCATAACCTTTAAGAAACACACATCAAAAAATACTTCTCAACAAGATGAATACAAGATTATGGTGGAAAATCAGGAAACTATTCAAGAGCGGGAAATCACTATACTGTGTTCTTACAACCAAGAAATTACTATTATCAATATTTTGATACCTTTTCAGCCTTTTTCTCTTAACATATATAGATTATACAAACAAAAATGAAATCACATTATCTCTACACATTTAATAGCCTTAACATGTCTTGACTAACTTTTCACATAATAAAAATAGGTTCTATAATATAATTTTGGGTGGATGTACGCAATTCTATGGCATGGCTGAATATGCCATAGTTTAATCAATCTCCTATTTTTGGATTTTTAGGTTGTTTCTACTTTTTGCTATTATGAACAACAGTGCAATAAACTTTCCTGTACATAACTCTGTGATTACGTCCATGACTATTTTAAGATAAATCACTAGAAGTAGAATTGCTAGATTGAAGTATATGCATCTTTTATAGACTTGAGTGCATAATGTCAAATTACCCTGGAGAAAGGTGGAACCAATTTACGTTCCCACTAGCCACACACTAAAGTGCCCATTTCTTCCACCCTGATCCGTAGTATGTGTTATCATTTGTTTCTTCCTCGTGATTTGATAGGCAACAAAAAGTACTTTATTTGTGTTTTAATGTGCAGTTACTGCTGAGGTTGGATATATTTTCATATGTCTTTGTTGGACATGACTTTATTTTTGTAGTAAATTGCCTATCATGTTCTTTGCCAGTGTTCCTACTTGTGTATTTTTTCCTTACAGATTTTCAAATCTTTATAAAGTAAGACTATGTCCCTATTATATGTCAAATATATTGCAGTTTCTTGTTTGCCTTTTAATTTTATGTTTTTGCCTTGTCGAATTCTTTAATTCTTTAATGCACGTAGTTGAATCCATTGCTATTTTCCTTGTGTTCTGCTTTTGATTGCATGTTTAGAAACATGTTCTCCATGGTTTATCATCTGAAAAAAATACCCACAATTATTCATTTGCCAAATATTCTCAACTATTTGTACAAGTTTATTCTTTAAAATACTTTAGAAGTATTTTATCAAGTCTCTTCATCTACCTCAAAAAATTCCTTTTGGGATTTTGATTGGGATTACATTAAATGGATAGATTAATTTGGTGGAGAATCTATAAATTTACAATTTTATATTAGAATGTAAGTTCCACAGGGGAAAGAGTATTTGTATGTTTTGTTCTCTGCTATATCCTGGACTTAAGATATAGTGTGTACTGGACTTAGGAAAGTGTCTGGCACATGGTAAGTACATAAGAAGTATTTGCTTGAATGAATTTTAAATCTTTTCAGAAATGATGTAGTTCTATTGATTTAATTCTTCCTTAATGTTCATCAGAAAAGTTTAGGAGTTATTTTCATATAGTCCCAACTAATTTATTGTTATGTTTATCCTGGAAATGTTATGTAACTTTGTAATTTTAAATGATTCTTTCTCTATTCAATTTTCTTTATGTTTTTTTGCTGTCATCTGGGGGAAATCATTGGATATATATGTTTAAACTAGCCTCTTGTCATACTCTTAAATTCTAATATCTTCTCAGTTAATTATTTTGGTTTCATATATAGAAAAATCACACAATTTGCACATAATAGTCATTTTTGCTTCCTTCATTCCAACATTTACTCTTTGGTTTATTTTTCCAGTTTTCTCATTGTATCTGTGAGAACTCTCAGAACAATGTTTAATAATAGATTAGAGAGTAAGCATCCTGGTCTTGTTTCTGACTTTAATGGAAATTCTTTTACCACAAGAGTTTGAGATAGTTATTCTTTATCATGTTGAGGAAATACCTTTTTATTCTAGTTCGATATGGCTTTTTTCTCAGCAATGGATGTTGAATTTTATAAAGTGCATTTTGGGCATTTATTGATTTTTCTTTCCTTGAACTATTGATGTGATAAGTTATATTAATAGATTTCTGAATATTGAATTCTTTTTTCATTCCTGAAATAAATCATTCCTGGTCTTGATACATTCTTTTAAAAGTACTCTTCTGTATTTGATGAGCTAGACTTTTATGAAGGATTTTTGGATCCATATTCACATATGAGATTGGTCAGCAGTTAGTTCACTATTTGGGCAATCTTTATTTTCTTTGCCCTAATGGAGTTTAAATAAGATAAGAGTTTTTTAACTCTGGTTTTTTAAGATTTATTATTCACTTGTAAAGCCATCTAGGTCTGGAGTTTTTTTTTTAAAGCTTTATTGTGTTTGTCCAGAACCCATCAGCTCCAAGTCAAGTCGTTGTTTTCAATTTAGTTGTGGAGGGCGCAGTTGAGCTCCAAGTCAAGTCATTGTTTTCAATCTAGTTGTGGAGGGTGCAGCTCACTGGCCCATGTGGGAATCGAACCGGCAACCTTGGTGTTATGAGCCCGTGCTCTAACCACCTGAGCCAACTGGCCACCCCCTGGAATATTTTGTTTTAAAGATTTTTATTGGGGAATTGGGGGGATGGGAACAGTGCTGGGGAATTGGGGGAAGGGGAACACACAAGTTGCTGTCGTTTTTTGGTTCTTCAATCTAGTTGTGGAGGACGTTGCTTCACTGGCCCAAGTTGGCACCATCATTGCGCTCTTCCCGGGCGATGCAGATCAGTTGCCGGCTTCTGAACGGCCGCTCACTGCAGCTGCTGGCCGCTCACGCTGGCTGCTGGCTACACACAGTAGCCCATGGCAACCCACTGCCACGGGGGCTGCACCTCATGCCGTCGCCGGAGACTTATGGCAGCCCAGCTCCAGGTTGAGCTGTTGTTCAGCATCTTAGCTGTAGAGGGCAGTGTCACTGGCCCTCACATGTGGGATCCGAACCGGGGCCCTCTGGCATCCCAAGCCAGCTCTTAACCAATGCGCCACTCGGCCGGCCCCCCCTGGAATATTTTTGATAAACATTTCTTTCTCAGTTTCATCTGGGATTTTTAAAAAACTTATTTAGGTGGTTCCTGAGCAATTTTTGATCATATATTTTGTATAAAGTAATTCATTTTTTGGAGCTTTTCAAAATTATTAGAGTGATTTACAATATTATTTAATCATTTAAACTTGCTGCTGTGAATAAGATGACCTCCGGTTCCTATACCTGCTGTGTGTTTTCCCACTTTCTCTTTATTGGCCAATCCAGATGTTAGTTTATTCATGATCTCTCCACATAAGCCACTTCTTGGATTTACCTATTGGGTCTACGAATTTTCTTATTGACAACTTATTGCTTTTGTTTTTATATTCATTAAAAATTCTTTTCCATAACTTTTTTTTCTTTCTTGTTTTTGTTTATATTTTTTCTGGAGAAGAATAAAATGGATGATTTCTTTTCATATTTAATTCAATAATAAAGACATTTAAACCTATGATTTTTTTTCTCTGAGTATAAGTTTGGTCTTATCCCATGAATTTTGACCTAGTATTTCTTTTATTGCTAATTTCTATATAGGAGGTCACTATTTTGATTTTATTTTTATTCTAAGAGCTATCTGGGAGTGTATTTTCTCACTTTCAAATGGTTGAGTTTGTTTTCTTTTAAAGATTTGTTGGTAATATTTAATTTTATTACATTATGCTTAGAAAATGTGACCTATTTAATGTCTGTGTTGGGGATTTATTGAGATTTTCTTTGTGGCCTAGTAATATCATTTAAAAGTGATATATGTGGGGATGAGGGAGAAGGGGAAGGGATTAGACAGCATAAATAGTTAACTATAGTATTCCCACAGGGATATGAAGGACAGTTCGAGAAATATAATTAATAATGTTGTAAATATTTTGTAGGGTGTCAGATGGTCACATGTCTTGCTAGGGAGACCGTGTCATGGATGGGGTAGAGGCTTGATCACTGCACTGTACACCTGAAGCTGATGTTGTATAATATTGTATGTCAACTATAAGTGAATATATATATATA